TAAAAGGTGAAAAAAAAAAAATTAATAATGTTTGTCTTGCCACATCCAGGAACAAAATGGCACGTCGCTCCAACTGTACCTTATTAGGTACTAATTCTGTACCCTTCCAATGGGTAAATTTTTGTACCAGGAAATAAAGGTACATTTTTTGTCACTGTGGATAAAGAAGTGTTCTTTTAGAGGTATAGAATAAAAGGTAGAAAAATGTATCATGTTCTCAGTACGGTGCTTGTACCCTGCTAGGGTACAGCTGAAGCGACAAAGCATTTGTATCGTTTTAGGTCCATTCTTCTACCTTGATTTCTGCTTTGTTGAAATCCGACAGGCCGGGAGTCTTTGTAAAAATTCTAAACTAAACTTATCTCCACTGCCCAAAAGCATTCAATTACTATTTTGGTGTCAAATATGGTTGCAAAATTATAGCGAACAGCTCTATACCGCTGCCCTCCTCCCCTTTAATAAACCAGGTTAGTCTGAAAATCTCCTTGACTCAAGTTGTTTAATGACCATAGCTAATGTTGCGGTGCTCTGCCCTCTCTTTGTCGTGTCTGTGTAGCCAGCCTAATCGCTGCTGACAGTCAGCTTTGCTCTTTTATTAGCTCTGCGTCGCTTGCAATCAGTGACAGTGAAGTCAGGCAGCAGGAAGGGCTTGTGTGAACTCAACACCCACTTGGACCCAACATTTAGACTAGCACGCACACACACACACACACACACACACACACACACACACACTCTACGATCCCTTCCGCCTGCCTCTCCAGTTATGGAGCTGTGCAAAGGTTTACAGGCCTGTTGCTGCCATCTTTTTTTTTCCGGGCAGCAATGAAAACAGTGAAGAGAGTGAGCTGACGACCTCTGATCTGCCACAGCAGAAAATGTGGAACGTTCGGTGAGTCACAGAGGAACCGGGCGGGTGGATACAGTTTTGTTTTCTGGCTTGGAGCTGCTTCGGCTGACTGGCTGACCTTGTTGGCAGGATGGCTAACGGTCTGGCCAGCCGATTCAAAGCACAACAATGGTCATGTTTGCTCAAAGGAAATGTTCGACACTTTGGGAAATACGCCTATTCTCTTCCTAGTCTGGAGTTAGATGAGAAGATCGATACTGATGTCACGTCTGTCCGTTAAATATGAAGCTACAGCCAGCAGGCAGTTAGCTTAGCTTAGCATAAAGACTGGAAACAGGGGGAAACAACTCTCTTTGAAGGTAACAAAATTTGCATAAGCGAAAGCGAACCAAATAATACATTAAATTGCATTTACTTAATCTGTAAAAAAAAAAAAATACAATTTGCCACTTAAATGGGGCCGAACTATTTCTTGCCCGGTCTAGTAACTTCCTGCAGTCTCTTCTGGTTGCCTGGCAACCACACTGTGACAACAAGGCTGCAGTAAGTTACTGCGACATTACCCTCCATGTGTCAATTCTACACTTCGGTTTTTGTATTAATTAAACAAACAAGCTCTAACGTCCTAGTTAGTGAGCTTTAGAGGCGCTGGTATTCAGATGTTGTTACCTTCAGACAGTGCTAGCTGTTTCCCCGTTTCCTGTATTTGTGCTAAGCTAAGCAGTTGCTGGCTATTGCTACATGTTTGGCGCGCAGACGTAATCTTCTCATCTTACTTTGGGCAACGCAGCGAATAAGCGTCTATCCAAAAATAACTCTTCCTTTAACAGACCAGTCCAGTGTTATAACAACAATGAAAACACTGGAACTGTCCCTTTGGCTAGCTGACAGATACCTGCTAAACATACAGTATCAGATATGAGTATACCCCAGCTGCCACAACAATAACGGTCCATTGTGTATCCAAAGTTGTATTCAAATACCGAGATATGGGATCAGTTCTAGCCTGACTCTCTCTCCAATATGAGGCCTCCTCAACTTTCCCACTGAGGCAGTACGTGTCCAAACAAGATAAATGCCTCAGCCAATGCAAAGGACTGTGGAAAAATGGAAATGAAAAGACTACTACAACACCATGGAAATCATAGTGTCAAATTTCAAGTTGGACAGTCTAGAGAAGGGGGTGTGGGAGCGTGTGGGGAGGGGGAAAGGAAAAAAATATTCTTTCTCTGCTCATGTTTGGAAAGAGGGGAAAAACTTCCCCAGCTAGTGTGATTAAATTAAAATGCTGAAACTGATTCACTGGTCTATGAATCAGTAAACTGTGAGCTACACATTTTATAGAGATGACTGTAATCAGATTGCATATCTGACAACTGACTGTGAGCAGCATGCGTCCTGATTAACCATTAAACCACAGATTCTCACAGGCAACTTGGAGCTCAAGTTGCTGTGAAGCCTAAAGACACCCAACCACCTCCACTACGCTGACCGCCTGACAATCACATTCCTCACTGAGAGCTGGAGCTAAAGGAATGTCTAACGCGGCACAAAGCTCCTGTCGTTCAGGAACGAGGACCAAAGACGAGAGAACGCATTCTCTGGAAGGGTTGGGTCGGTCTGTGCTCTTTTCTTTTGAGACAATATACGACTAAATTTAACTATTACCACCGCTGGAGCAAAAAAACAACCCTCAACTTATTGTCTTGATTACAGCGAAACAATTGTCTGCATTTATTTCTGCCTATTCAACAAGAAATAATCATTTTCCTCACCACTAAGTGTTTGTAATACTGTGTGTGCGAACCACATGGGGTTCATAGTTCACTGCTGCATGTCATAAAACTTTGAATTCCATGATTGAATGAGAGGCTTTAGACTTAACCATTACTTTTCCTTCCACAAGAGCTCCTTTTGTCTGTAAACACTGTCTTTTTCAGTCTCTCCTGTATTTTTTCACACACTTTTTCTAGCAGTGATCTCACATTTTCACTAGCCACAGTGCTCCCCATCCCCCAACACACACGGTGCACAGCGGACATCCAGTATGATTTCAAGATAACAGAACATTGCCAGGGTTTGCCTTGAGTGGAAAACCATGAGGCACTTTTCCTACAGTGCCAAACCCCTGAGCTGGCGAGGCATTACTGAATGAAAGACTCCCGCAGTAATGTTTTAATGCCAGTAGTTGTACTCCAAGACTGCAGAGAGACTTGGCATCAACAAGCTGCTAAGGCATGATGGCTTTAACAGAGCCTTTGAGAAGAACTTGTAAGACACTCAAATACAGTAGTTTAAAATAAAGAGGGTTTAAAGATACATATAGATATATAGATCAGATACTGAATCACAATTACAATAATCTGTAAACAACTGTGGTTGCAAAGCATGCAACAATATAGCCCGCTCATGGTTTGTTATGGTACACGATCCTGATTTTAAGGATTTGATTCACAGACAATAAGGTTTAGATGGTTGGATGCACTGACGATAAGGTTAACAAAAGTTTGACGGAAATAAAATATATAATAATATAGTATTAAAAAAAATATTATAGTGTGACTATAAGGTTATACTTTTCTTGGTATTTGTATAATAATTGTTCTTATACATTTTGGTAAAAAAGATTTAACTTAATTTATCATTTACACAAAATAAATTAATCTGCTTATTTTACAAGTAGGTGCTTATTGGAAGAAAAGCTTATGTAGGATTGTTTTCGGCAAGGACTCCATCTTCATATCTGAGAAGCTAGAATTAGCAAAAGTTTGCCATTTTGCTTGAAAAATGACTGGAAGGATTTATCACCAATTAAAACTAGTTGTTGATTAATACTCTGTTGATTGATAAATTAAATAAATGTCCACATGAGAATGTCATTCTTATCATAAAAATACAAAGATTCGTCACTCAACTATGTACTTTATGTTTTTATAGTGTGAAATATTGTTTTATTATAAATGTTTACACTTTAGGTGGTGGATGACAATTTAATACTGTCACACCAGATACAGTTTGAGTCTAAAGCCCTCTCACAGTTGATGTATATGGATAGTGAAGAAGGTCATATTCACCTGTAGGAGGTCATCACTCAGCACCTCAGTTTTCTCAGCCCTGTTGAGGGAAACACAAACATGAAGCCAAAAGTCAAACACTGACAACAAACAGAGAAATGCAATATAATGTAAACTGGATATGCGTTAAGGGACACACAGCACATCATTTGAATGAAATGCCAAAATAATGGAGCATTTGGACATGTCTCACTCTTCTGCAGTGGCAGAAAGATGCAGCACACTGACATACAGCTATTGCAGTGTTGTATTTCAACTAAACAAGACCAAACTTGCTGTTAAAATTCAGCTGAATTGATGAGCACACTGCAAACGACACCATCAAACTAAAGCAGAAGAGCCAATCCAGCCCGACCTGTCTGCAGTTTGTGCCTGCAGCAAAGTCACACCGTGCAGCATAAGCTAACGTCCACAAATGCACAATATGAAATGCTGTCACACAATAGACCTCTTAAGAATGTGAAATTTGTCTTGTGAGAATTGCTGGGTACCATTTGTTTTCACATGCTCAACATGTATGCACAAATGCACCACTCATGCCTGTGGCTGTTTTCCACGATGGACCTGTCGGATTCCTCCACTCTGTCCGAACACACACTTCCTGTCGTGTCATCTCCACCTTGTTTGTTATGGCAACAGGGGCGATGTGTATGTATGTGTGTGTGTGTGTAGAGGAGGGTTGTTGATGTCTTAAACACCCTGAACACACTGCACATTGTAGCCGAGTCTGCGGAAAACAAGATAGTCACATCACTGCAAAACTTCTAGGAAATGTTGATGAAATAAGATACGCTTCTAAATATATGACCTCAAAGCTCTCATAGCAGAGTTACACCCATTTCAGAGCCAGAGACTAATTATCTGTCTCTGCTTCTTGGGATGAATATTGCTGAGCTAGAGAGACCCAGCAAGTGAGCTCATCACTCACCTTGTCGATATCTAACAAATACACCGACACTGACACACATTACATCTACACACACAAATCCCTGAAGACCCTACCCCTACTAGAGCAGGCCCAAACTATAGATTCAAATCTCGTAGGGATCAATTAACCCTCTGCCACGCAAGAGTTATTACCTAATGCTGTTGTTACCCCCTACGGATACGGCTTTACCTCACTGAAATATCCTTACTGTTAATCGAAAACGCCTTTGGCTGCACTCCTCTGGTTCGTACTATTAGTAGCAGGCCCAAATAGCAAAAATTAGCATGTTTAAGTCTCCCAAATGTGAATACTGTAGGGTTTTTTTCTGTCTTCTGTGATAGAATATCTTTTTTGGACTGCTGGTCAGAGAAAACAAGACATTTTTAAAATGTCACCTGGGGTTTAGGGAACTTTTGATAAGTATATTTCACTCTTTGCTGACATACTACGGACCAAACAAGAAAACAATTGATAGATTAATCAACAGTAAAAAAAAATGTTAGTTGCAGCCCTAGTTGGCATCTAGCATACTACTACTACTACTACTACTACTACTGCCAGATTTAAGGATCCACTCCAGAAATGTATCAAGACATATACAAATAATGTACTTTATGTACTATTATACACTATAATATGTGCCTGATGTGATTTTTTATGCCAAAAAAGTACAATTTCCACATTTAAATCCTTAAAAGGTATTCTACTCCCTCATTAAAAATTCCAGAAACTATGAATATGCAAAACGTTTTCGTGCTGGACACAAGATGTCTCTATTTGTGATGTCAGAACTCACCTTGTTTCAGAACTGATAACAAAAATGTTCAAACGATATTCAGCCCTCCTCAGTATCTACTGTGGCTTCTTGAAGTTTCTGTCTTCATATACTGCTTTTCTTGCTGATTTCTTTAACATACACAGCATCATGTCCTAAGCAACAAAGGATATTTCCAAGCAAAGAGCAGACCCCTAACTGATGTTTGAAACATATACATATAAGATTTAGTACAAATGCAGACAGGGATAGGACAAATAAGCCATGTTTTTAAGGGTCAGGTGTGTAACATTTAGGAGGA